CTTTGGCCTTCCTCCTTTCCGTTCCCCCTCACGATTCCACGTTAGGGCTTGCCTCGTCAAGCAGTTTGATGATTTGCGCAACGTATAACCTATCCATTTCAATCATCTTTCCTAATTTCCTCTTCAGCTGGATGCTGGTTTGTTCTGTCCCACAGTAGGTTGTTGATGATGACATCATGTCAACGGATAATGAGTATCTTGAATAGACAATTATATGTAAATACTTGTACATCTTTGATGGTGGTTGTTGTAGTTCTCCAAGTTTCAGCTCCGTACAGTAGAACTGTCTTGACATTCGTATTGAAGATTGTGACTTTAACACTGGTTGACACTTATTTTGAGTTCCGTATGTTCTTCAATTGTAGGAATGCGACCCTTGCTTTACCAACCCTTGTCTTCACATTTGCAACATGGACAAATAAGTGGTCTTGATAAGAAACTAACAAAGATTTAGAATAAATATTCCATTTTTAAACACTGACTTATCGAAAGAAAGCATGTACGAATATAAAACAGGAATATATTATTAATTTACATAATTATTTAAAACATAATTACTGACTCACATTAGTCTGAATACTTATTGATGTTATGTAATCTATACATATATATTGACTAAATAGACAATATAATTTATTGAACTACCTTCATTACTTACTTACGTCTGTTACTCCCAATGGAGCATAGGCCGCCGACCAGCATTCTCCAACCCACTCTATCCTTGGCCTTCCTTTCTAATTCCATCCAATTCTTGTTCATTTGTCTCACGTCTATCTTCATTCCCGGCGTAATGTGTTCTTTGGTCTTCCTCATTTCTTTTGGCCTTGAGGATTCCATGTGAGGGCTTATCTCGTGACGCATGTCGGTGCTTTCCTCAATGTGTGTCCTATCCACTTCCAGCGCTTCTTCCTAATTTCTTCCTCCGCTAGGATCTGGTTTGTTCTTTCCCACAGTTGGTTGTTGCTAATAGAGGAACTGATATATCTCTAAATGAAATCTCATGTATTATTTGTAAAGAAGCATTTTTCTGAATAATTAAACTAAATTTTAAAAAATCGTCTTCATAACAAAGTTGTGTAACAAGTACTTACAATTACAGTAAAAAGAAAAAATAATAAAATGGACAAGACATAACAAAATTACATATTTGTTTGATTATTAACCCAAATGGATTATTAACAGGTACTGACTAATCAGTCTTTGTCATTGCATGCATAACAACGTTTAATTTAAACAAAATCTCTATTTATCACCAATTATATGGTTTTTGTATTTGACATTCATACAAAGTGCATTGAGAAACTATTTTTATGACAATGATTACAGGTTTTTATTTGAATCCAAATTTATTTAACTTGACCTTTAAACAGGCATGTTTACACATGTTTTTAATTTCAGCCTAGTTCATTGATCAAGTTTTAACAGATTATTATTTTTGTTTGATAAATACATTAAACTGTTTAATATTCCTGATATTGATTATAAAATAGACATGTTAAAAGAAAACAATGTTTTCTTTATTCAATCAACTAGTCAGTCAGTAAATTTGTTAGTCAGGTATGAATTGAAAACAACTAGTAACATATTAATTAATAGTTTACGATTTTCATTAAACAAAAAATTGAATGACAATTGACAATAATTGCACAATGACTTGCATTTGAATAATACAGTCGTACAATTATTCAAAATACAATAACAACAACAGAGAGAGAGAGTAATTTTTCCAATAAGTTTTGATTTATATTCGTTGTATACTTTAAATTACTTATTTCAGTTTACAAAACTATACTAAAGATGAAGAGAATAAAAGAAAGTGAGAGCACACTTCACGTATGAACAATAACTTAAAGATGATATATTGACCATAGACGAATATGATGCCATTTGACTTTTATAGCTTTTTAGTTTAGTAAAAGCTCATTGAGATAATACAAGACTGAGGAAGAGAGATAAATAGTAAGACAATTCAAATAGTTACTAGCGTTCATCATATAATATCAGTGTATTTATTAATCCTTTCTTTTAAATAGTTTACAAAAGGAAATATTGCATGGAAATGTGAAGAAGTACGTCATTCTATCTTAGTATTTGAATTAAATTTTACGAACAAATTAAATTAGACAACTAATAAAAATGAATAGAAATTATAACATTTACCTCTGAATAAGTTGATATCCGATCTATGAATGGTTTATTCTTGAAGTAATATGTAAGACTGTAAATAGATGTCTACACACGGTAATCATAAAATATAGACGAAAAAAGAATGAAATGTAATCTCAGTTTAACATTGCATTGTTATGTTAATTGTAATAATGTTAAATAATAAAAATAACTGAGTGAAGTTAATAGTAAAAAGATAATGACCGAGATAAGAAAAATAAGGATTAAGTAAGATTAAGTTGATGCTCCATATGGATAAATTATGTTAAGGATTTGATTGGTAAGTTACATGTAATTCTGATACACTTCTGAGTATTATAAATCCTTCTGACTATGACAGACTGTAAAATTTAATCTTTTACCTGCAGAGATAATATTTCAATTAGATATATTCATGTTATGATAAACAATACACCAGAATTTATTTAAATATTAGATAACAGAAATGAGAATAACAATAAATGAATAGTTTTTATAAATGAAACCGATAGATAAAGTGTTAATCTAATCTGTTAATATTTATTCTGTTATAGGTTGTCCGCACAGAAGTTCTCCTTATTTTCAGATAGCATAAGTAACTCAACCACTTTTGAAAAAAATTTAAAAATTAGAGCAGTAGAACAGTTTAATGGATAAAAATTGGATTTTGGTAACAAATTTAACGTATTATGAGGTTAACAAATGTGGTATATACCATGAAAAATATAAGATGGAGATACGATTTGATTGGTGACAATTAGGGAATAATAGTTTATCAAGAAAATGATTAGTAACTCATATTTACGTGTTTTGAACATAAGCTAAACGTAATAAATTATGATCAGAATGAAAAAGGCAGTAGACTGAAGTGTATTACATTCACTTGAACTGGTTTCCCAGATTTTATATCCTAGTGACTATAGCCTAATGAATTAACATTTGTGTGTGTCTTTAGCATATATCAATTATAAACAATACAATATTTTCGTTCATTATAACATTGATTTACTTCAGTATGATGTTTATTCAAGATAATATTCCTTGCATTAATTCAAGGTAAAATTTGCAACTCGGGTTTTTGTAGTAATTCTGTGCGTTGCCCTTATGTGTGATGTTTGTCGACTAATCAACAGGTTTGAGTAAAATCGATAAATAAATAAGTGCATTCGTGTGTTAACCCAACTTATTTCTGGGGTCAAGGAAATCCAATATCATCAGTGTTTATGCTTTCACTACGCACCGTCGGATTAGGGGTTTCAACACCAGGTTAGTTAAGTATTCTTCAGACGTGACAGTAACAGACATAACATTTTTCAAGAGTTTAAGCCCTCCATGTCGATGAACAAGGTGGGAAAGAAGTGAAGATTCAGTGATGTCACTGAATAATGGTCACCTTAAAACATTAATTGATAGAAGTTAGACCATTCAATTTACATAGTGGGTTCTCTGCAAAACTTGAAGGTCATAGATTTAATACTGTGTAGAATTGCAGATGTACATTGTTGAAAATTTACCCGTCCATAGAACTTATTTGCCGATAAAAAATGATTGAGTCTTTTCAGAGTAGCAACGATGGAAATGAAAAACGTTTTACAATAATAACGTATCTTTCCCAACGATTTACAACTTGTACCATACCTCACCTTTTAGAAACTTAGTACTATCCATTTATTAATGGATTACTGTTATAATCAAAGAAGTTGATTTTCATTCACTTTGTAGACTGAAAATGTATTAATAATTGTAAAGTTTCCTCAAGTCATCTTACATAATAAAATATAGCACAAATGTTAACCCAAGAAACGGGAGAAAAGCCCATACTTTAAAGTCCCTACCTATTCGAATTCATCAACCAGGTATATGTAGAATCCTTTAGATGATATTTTTCACAAATTCGGTTTAATATCACTCATTTAGGCTATCCATAAGTATCATCATTAAAGTCATGTTTGTTCCAAGCTGTTACCTGAAGTAATAAATTAGATGTGATTAGATTAGGACGAGTCCTAAAGTCTTACAGTTGAAAACAGTTTAAACTGTTTAGCTGTTTTCCTATTTTTTTTTCTTATCAGTGCTGAAGGAAAATCACTTCGTCATTTCGTCTCATCCATTCACTATCATTGAAAATGAACTTGTTTCAAACTTGTATTCAATTTCCTTAAAAGTAACAGTAAGTAAACCAGTAGACCGAATCGTCCATTATGGATAAATAAGATATGATATTCAATGAAATGTCTCGAGTGAACGTTTCAAAATAAAACTAAATAGTGAAATTAATTACTCAAAAACTGAAATATTTTTTCTATGGTAAAACAGTTAGTTAATTTACTTTTAATGAGTAGTTTTATTTTTATCATGTATTTCGATTACCAATAATTGATTGAGGCCAATTTGCTTGACAAATAAGTAATGGCTGAGACAAGCTTCTTCTGATGGCGCTTGTGAATATCGTTATATTATTATTATTATTATTATTATTATTATTATTATTATTATTATTATTATTATTATTATTATTATTATGGACAATAAATTATTAGTCATGTTAACTAACCGTTATTACGATTGGTCCAGAAAACAACCGGTTTTTATTCACTTTCACTTATTCCACTGACTATAGGCCAGAAGTGATATTGAATCAACCAATTATACAGACAGTATGATCTAAAAATAAGTTATTGAGTTTCTTACTATTATATTTAATAAATAGATGAAATTACATGAGAATAAAATGATCACATTTTATTTTTTATTTCACATTGCAAAACTATCCGACTGATATTAAGAATTTTGTGAGGAAAACCTTCCAAGTGAGCTCACAGAAAACTAATCATTTGTGCTGAAATTTAACAAATATGGGTTTACAGCAAGAACCTAGTAAGTGAATCCACCTAATTGAATGTACTTCTTTTGTGATATTTCTGAAAAATAGACATTCCTATTGAATTTGGTTTTTAATGGTGGTAATTACAAATAATTTGTTTTCCGAAATAAAATCAAAATAGATTTATATAAACAAAAGAATTGAGGTTAAACGAAATATGGTTAAATGTGATCGAGACCGAGGCTCTGAGTTTGAATCATGCGAGCGGGGTCATGGATGCGGACCGCTGAGGGGTCCCACAATAGGAAAAAACGGTCGTCCAATGTTTTCAGGTTTTCAATAGCGGTCAGTCAGTTCATGATCTTAATCAAAAAGATAATAATCTCCACAACCCCATGCAGATAAATGTGACTATGTTTTCTTAGAAGCTTACAGATATTTTACCAAAAATAGTCTATGTACATGTATTTAGAACAAATACAGTTTATTCGAATGATTGTAGCAACAATAAGTCTACGTAGATGCTTGGTACAATGAGTTCGGAGCAGCAGTTTTAAGATAATGGCATCATCAATTTGAAATGAATACACAATGACCTTCATAGGAATTATTTATTACCATAAAGTATTATGAAATCACGAGACACTTAGGCATTAGAGGGTTTAGTGAAATTCGGGTCTTTTATTAAGACCCTAGGAACCAGACGAGATCTGCTATTCTATGATCTGAAGATCATATTTTAATTATAGTGGTGTTACTGGCCCCAAAGAAAATTAACTTCTAAAGAGATGAACTCGTGTATTAACCATTTCAGTAACTAATATCTTATTGATCAGAACCCGAAAATCTTCAATAAAAAATCTTCCAGTATTCCATAACCTTATAGGGATGTAATCTATCGAATGTTAATACATATAATGAAGCATTTGTGTACTATTGTCTCATTGACTCATTAACGTTTGATACTTTAAATAACTTAATTTTATAAAGAGTGACAAAATGTTCTTAGATTGCTTTGTCAACCAAAACTGAATTACAGATGAATCAGGTTATCAAAATGGAGATTACCATTAACGGTAATCTATAAAAATTGATTTAATTTAGTGTACATATACTATTTACTGATAATTCTATTTGTATCCAGTTCAGCTTACAAAAGATTAAAACTAAGAGTTTTAAATAAATCCCTTTTATTTCTGAGCAACTTTCAAGTGTATTATATAAATTAAATAGCAGGAAATTTAAATTCCTTATTTTTCTCATTCTCATTAGTATATTTCAACATGTATCATTTTATTTTTATACATGAAATGTACTTCCCAGAAAGTGACTAACATTACTACCGTAGAGGTTAAAGTTATCAGCTCCCATTCTTTAGGTGTCAGGTTCATACCCAATTCATTATCTTTAATTTGTGTTGATGGGTAGTTTCACTATCGTTCACATGAGCAGTATTGACTAAAACTGAATACATAAACGTATTCCTAGTAAATGAGCTACACTATTTAATTTAACCAATACATCGAGGATTTAAGAAATTATTGAAAGTTCGCTAATGAAATTGAACTATTCATAAGATTACTTGAATACGATTATGTAAATCATTGACTGATTTTGATTGCTTACTTATTACAAAAAAACGAGATATTTATCATCCTATTTGTTATCATTATTCTGTTTTGTGTTATTTACTTTTACATATAGTTATGAGTAATATTTATATCACCCCAGGGATTTTCTCTTATTCATCACGTTTGTGAATAGAATGACTGTAAATATCGTTCTCAAAGATAAATAGGTATAGTCAACCAGGTAAGAATAATCTTATTGTCAAATGGCCAATTATCAGTTATATCGGGATACAGGGTTATTGAATAACTTTGTAGTGGCTGTGCTTCGTTAACCAATCCCCCTCGTAACCGTTATCATATAATCCTCAACGGTGTTTGAAATCAGAAGGCAAAGAGAAGCAGCGACTACAGTTTTATTAGCAGATAACTCAGATCACAAAGCAGTGAGGCGAATGAATGAGTCAGCGAACCGAATGTGTGTAGTGTTAAATGTACACGTATATATAGGGAAATGAATGGATCATCGAATCAATTAAACAGTTAATAATAAAGCTAGCAGAATGAATATATGCGTAGGCGGTAAGCAGTGTTCAAGCATACATATTTCATACAAGCACAACAATAATAAAGGTACAATAAGTTGTTATAGTACGGATGACTTTGTCCGCTAAATAAATTAACAAAAGGGCTTAACTGAATTAAATGAGAACAAACTCAATTGCACGTGAGTTGCTATAACTTATTTGAACTATTTCTGTATAAGCAAGTATATGGATCAGAGAGTTTTAATTTTACCAATCCATTTTTTTTATCGTAAGTGTAGAGGTTGATAGATTTTTGATTGAAATGTTCACATTCTTCAATGACTAACTGACAAAGCATTTTATTTATCACTATAATTATTAATCAATAAATAAATGGTAAATTTCTGTAATTTACCCTAAAAGGTTTGCTATCAAAAAGAGGATATTACTTTATTTATTGTATTGACTGAGTGGTTGTAAAATGAATAATCACCACAATGAAAACAGTATTAGGTCAAATTCACTTGACATTGTTTTACTTGAATTTTCCCATTGATGTTTTTGGACTGAAATTGATCAGTCTCTTATTGGCATATGTGCATACTGTGCGTATGCCTCGATATTGCCTAAATTTACAGGTACATCCAGCTGACGAGTCCCAAACAGGACGAAACGCGCGTCCTGGATTCCACTGCTAGCCACTATCCATCTTTGCTTATAAAGTATTAGGTCATTTGCAATATATTTCGCCATTCATCTTATATTGTATAACAGAATTTTTGTGATATCATAATTGAGATAATCAGCAACCTGATTGAAGTTTGAAGGTTGTACAATAGTCTAGTGGTAATATGTTTAATAATAACGTTGAGGTATGTATTAGTTCTCTTAAAATTATAGATACAAGTCGAAGTGTGCTGACTAACAAGAAAGCTAAATTTGGCGTTTCTTATCGTTTGTTACCAGCCACTTGGTATAAAGCAAAATATTTAATAATAATAGTCTGCTTACTTACTTACGCCTGTTACTCCCAATGGAGCATAGGCCGCTGACCAGCATTCTCCAACCCACTCTGTCCTGGGCCTTCTTTTCTAGTTCCATCCAATTCTTGTCCATTTTTCTCATGTCTATCTCCATTTCCCGGCGTAATGTGTTCTTTGGTCTTCCTCATTTCTTTCGGCCTTGAGGATTCCATGTGAGGGCTTGTCTTGTGACGCATGTCGGTGCTTTCCTCAATGTGTGTCCTATCCACTTCCAGCGCTTCTTCCTGATTTCTTCCTCCGCTGGAATCTGGTTTGTTCTTTCCCACAGTATGTTGTTGTTAATAGTGTCCGGCCAACGGATCTGAACTATTTTGCGTAGACAACTGTTAATAAACACCTGTATTTTCTGGATGATGGCTTTCGTAGTTCTCCAGGTTTCTGCCCCATACAGTAGAACTGTCTTGACATTTGCATTGAAAATCCTGACCTTGGTGTTGGTTGACAGTTGCTTTGAGCTCCAGATGTTCCTCAGTTGTAAATATGCTGCTCTTGCTTTGTCGATCCGTGCCTTCACATCTGCATCAGATCCACCCTGTTCATCAATGTTGCTGCCCAAATACGTAAGGTTTTTACATCTTCCAAATCTTCTCCTTTAATTGTGATTGGATTGGTGCATTCTGTGTTGTATCGGATAATCCTGCTTTTCCCTTTGTGTATATTGAGACCTACTGCTGCTGAGGCTGCTGCCACACTGTTCGTCTTTTCCTGCATTTGTTGTTGCGTTTGGGATAGAAGGGCCAGATAATCTGCGAAGTCTGGATCGTCCAACTGCATCCTAGATGTCCATTGTATCCCGTGTTTTCCTTCAGATGTTGGTGTCTTCATGATCCAGTCGATCACCAGGAGAAAGAGGAAGGATGAGAGTAAGCAACCTTGCCTAACACCGGTCTTCACTTTGAACGACTTTGTCAACTGCCCTCCATGCACGATTTTGCAGTGTAATCCATCATATGAACTCTGTATGATATTGACTATCTTCTGAGGCACGCCGTAGTGTCGAAGAAGTTTCCATAGTGTTGTTCTGTCCACGCTATCAAATGCCTTTTCGTAGTCAATGAAGTTGATGTAGAGTGATGAATTGCATTCAATTGATTGTTTCACAATGATCCGTAGAGTTGCGATTTGGTCTGTACACGATCTATCCTTACGGAATCCTGCCTGTTGGTCACGAAGTTGGGCGTCTACGCAGTCCTTCATTCTGTTTAACAATATCCTGTTGAAGAATCTTCCCGGTATTGGTCCTGCTGCTTTGCCACTCTTGATTTGTCTGATGGCCATGCTGATTTCTTCAATTGTTGGTGGGCCAACATTGATTGGGAGGTCCGTGGGTGCTGCTTCGATGTTGGGTGGGTTCAGTGGAGCTGGTCGATTCAAGAGTTCTTTGAAGTGTTCTACCCACCTGTTTTGTTGCTCTTCAATGTTGGTGATTACCTCGCCTTCCTTGCTTTTCACTGGTCGTTCTGGTTTGCGGCGATTTCCAGAGAGTTTCTTTGTCGTGTCATACAATTGTCTCATGTTTCCTTCTCTTGCAGCCTTTTCCGCCGTCGTTGCTAAATCTTCCACATATTTACGTTTGTCGGTTCTGATGCTCCTCTTCACTTGTTTGTTTACTTCTGTGTATTCAGCTTGTGCCTTGGCTTTTTCTGCTCTTGTTCGACTGGTATTGATTGCTGCCTTCTTGTTCCTCCTTTCTTGAATCTTATCCAGTGTATCAACAGTGATCCATTCCTTGTGATGGTGCTTCTTGTGACCCAGGACCTCATGACATGTTGAAGTGATTGCCTCTTTGATCCCCTTCCAGTTGCTCTCCACAGTAGTTCCTTCTCCATTGAGTAGATCATGAAAGGCCTGGAACTTGTTGCTGAGGACTATCTTGAATTTGTTGAGTTTGTTAGTATCCTGAAGAAAGGCCGTATTGAACTTTTGTGATATTGTCCGCCCCGTTGTCCAGTGCTTCTTGAGTTTCAATTTCATCTTGGCGACCAGCAAGTGATGATCTGATGCTATATCAGCTCCTCTCTTGGTTCTCACGTCCTCTATAGTCCTCCTGAACGTTTTGTTGATGCAAATATGGTCGATTTGGTTTTGGTGGTGTGATCCGGTGAAGTCCATGTGGTTTTGTGTATGCGTTTATGTGGGAATATGGTGCCGCCTATGACCAGTTTATTGAAGGCACATAGATTTGCAAATCTCTCACCATTTTCGTTCTTTCTCCCAGTCCGTGTCGTCCCATGATGTCTTCATATCCAGTGTTGTCCGTTCCAACCTTGGCGTTGAAATCTCCCATCAGAATGGTCAGGTCCTTTGTTGGGCACTTCTCGACGATTGACTGCAGCCTATTGTAGAATTGATCTTTAGCGTCTTCATTGTAGTCGTTGGTAGGCGCATAGCATTGGATGATGTTCATTGAAATGCCCTCTTTCTTTGTTTTGAACGAGGCTTTGATGATCCTTGGTCCATGAGATTCCCATCCTATAAGTGCATTTTGCGCTTGTTTGGACAGCATCAATGCAACTCCTTGTGTATGTGGTGCATTTTCTTCTTCATGGCCGGAGTATAACAGGAGCTCTCCTGTAGTTAGTCGTTGTTGTCCAACTTGTGTCCAATGTGTTTCACTGATCCCAAGTACCTCTAGGTTGTATCTTCTCATTTCTGCAGCAATTTGGAAGGCTCTCCCGGTGTCCCACATTGTACGAACATTCCATGTACCTAAATAAATGGTCGCTCTGGTTGTCAGAAGGGGCATCGGCCTCGTAACTTCCGAAGGAATTCGGCTTTCATCATGAGGCGTCATAATTCTTCTAAATGAAGACCTTCTGACTCCCAGGGCAGAGTTTAAAAGGTTTGAATAATTTTTTCTGGTTAGCGTTTTTTTTAGTTTTCTACGGGATGGGGACGCTAACCCCATGCCCAACCCTCCTCCTTTATCCGGGCTTGGGACCGGCAGTAGCCCCCGGAGGGACTCCAGGTGGAGTTAATAGTCTGCTAAATTTGTTTTATCTTTTATTGTGATTATTGAAAAAAATTGTTTAACTGATATTTATCTTATCCTAGTGTTATCAGGCAAAACTGACCAGAATAAAGAAACACCAGTAGTTACAAGTCAACCAGTAACTATAATTCCTTTACAAGACCATCCAATAACTTTGAAATGTCCCAACTGTCATCAAGAAATTGTAACGAAGATTAAATATCGTAATGGTATGCTAACTTATGCAGCTTGTACAGGTTTATGCATAGTTGGGTAAGTTAACAATAGTGTTTGATTTGATATTCACTTGTTTAAAAAAGAGTTATTTCTTAATATATAAACAAAATGTTTATTATTTTGAAAGTGATTATTAACCAGTAATAACTTCAAAACGGATAATCATTTCCTCATATTGTATGTTTCATTGAAATTTTAATTCTAATATTTAATTCATGATCAATACAAAGTTTAATGTTTAATTATGCTAAAATGTATTAGTATGTAAATGTATGTGTCGTGTAGTTGTTGTTATGTCAACCCAAGAGTCAAATATTCTGAGGAGTTTAACTATACACTACTTGACTGTCTAAGTATAATTAAATTGGTCAAGTCATTAAATAGACGTAAGTAATGTATTGTGTTATGATTTGGTTTATATGAACCGAAATTCGAATTACTTTTAATGGTTAATCGCTTTTAAAATTGACAGTATATTACTCAAAGTCAGTTAACAATACCATGTTACAAAAATATTCCAAAGTTGTTACTAATTTATAATTTATAAATTAGGCATGTCTAGAGTGTGATCTCTTACCATTTTTGACAATCATCTGAATATTATATAATAGCCCAAGGTCACTGATAGTTAACAGTAAACCTGCAGACGAATAATTCACCTTACTTCAATCATTTATGTTCGATATAAGTTTAAGTGATATGGAGTGCGTAATGCTATGAAAATTAGTATTGATGATGGAGTAGATTTCAGCGAAATTGAATAGTGGAATAATCCAGCAACTGTAAATTGAGATTTAGGATATTCAATGTTAACCATTAGTAGTTACTTTCATTCAAGATTGATAAGTTGATTATAATCATCATTTAAGTATAGGTATTTGAATCTTTGAAATTTGTATTAATTTCATTTTGTTTTGATTAATATACTGAAACCTTTTAGGATACTTCTATTTTGATATTGATTTTCACTATATTATACTACTATTCAGTAGTGGGTAAAAGAATAATTTATTTCCCAAGATATGGGTGTCATAATTTAACAGCCTATCAAATAGTGCATCGAATTTTGAAAACTAAATAGATAGTTAGTTAAATTCCCAGTGAAAATTTCAGTCTGACAAGTTCAAAATTAGGTTAAAATGCAATTCAGATTTCAATATTAACTGTTAGTAAATAAAAGTAGACAATTTATTCATAATTTCTGTGTTCAATACGGTTTTGTATATATATAATTCGGTTATTTATTTACTGTGAAGAAGTGGCTTACATTAAGTCACGAAACGTCAGAAATACAAATTTTTAACTCATTGGGATATAACAAAAAATATTCATTATAGAAACTATCAAGTTCAACCTTGGTATTGATTACTTATAAAAAAGTTATAGAAACACTGTTTAATTTATGAAATTAGGAAAAATCTTCACTTTTGATTGTTCGAATCAAAATTCTGTTTGTATTGAGATGACAAATGTTAATATTATAATAAAATGGATGAATTTTACTGTAAAAATAATTGATCATTAATAATTCAAAAGCTAATCACTATCAACTTAGAAAATAATTTCTAATCACTAAGCTATAGAATGATAAATTATTCTGTTTAAACTTGGCTTCAAGTTGAATGAACGTTTAATAAGATTGGCTACTGTTGAATTTCGCACTGATAATAAAATCAAAAAATAATTTAGTTTATTGGTATAGTATTAAAAGAAAATGTAACATAAAACTTCAACGTGCTATAATTAATAATAATAATAATAATAATAATAATAATAATAATAATAATAATAATAATAATGCTCAATGGATGATAAATGATTTTCTCCAAGCAAGTTATATCAGTTTACGAAGTGAATAGTTTTCAAATTAACATGTTCAGTTAACATTCAATTAATAGCTAAACTGATTATCTTTCATTTTGTGTATTTAAGGTGCTTCTGTGGCTGTTGTCTCATTCCATTTTGTGTAAAAGCATGTAAAGATGTTGATCACAAATGTCCTGAATGCAGTCATCACATTGGAACATATCGCACGTTACAAGAAAAATATATGAAATAATGTTGATTTGCAAATATGTTGTGATATATAATTTTGTATCAAATTGGTCAATGAGTACGTTTCTTTGTTAATTTTCTCTCACAAATACATTTGTCACGAATATGCAGATTTATTTATTTATTATTTATTTATTTCAACACATAAATATTGTTACAAGAGGGCACCAAATATATATGCGCCACACATAACAGTGGGAATTTGAATAGGAGAAGGAAAAAAAAGTTAAGGAGCGTAAAAAATAACAATAACGAACAGATGAGTGTAAGGTGGTGTAATAATAATAATGATGATGATGGAGGAAACGGAAAGATACAACCTGAAGAAAGTAAAAGAAGGTTACAGCAGGATCGCCACTGGCTTCTATTCTGAGCCATATCTGATAACGTCTCTAACCAATGTGTTGCATCATCTCTCGGACCCCAACCAAGGAGTCGTGAAGAATCAACACAAGTTGGCTTTTTGCAGATTTCTTTCATACCCCGACACCATGTCATACACTGATTACCTCTCCGCTTCTTCCAACCAGTCCCAGAGTCGGCAAATAGTGCACGATGCGGAGTTCTCTGGGACGACATTCGTAGAACATGTCCAAGCCACCGAAGTCGGTGTTTCAAGATGGTGACACCGATTGAATTATCGTCTCTGTGCCCGAACACACGATGCTGAACCTCTGCATTACTAACATGGTGTTGCCACTGGATGTCAGCGATCCTTCGGAGACGGCGATGATCGAACACAGAGAGTCGTCTAACATCCTCAACTCGGAGAGGCCAGGTTTCACAATCATAGAGCAAAACTGCTCTCACCGACGCGTTGTAGATCCGACCTTTTACAGCCAGACTAAAATCACGAAAGCGCCAAAGATGGCCCAGATTGGCATAAGCCGCTCTGGCTTTCACTATTCGTGCATTGATCTCATCACTCACACCATCACCAGGACCTATGCAGCTACCCAGTTACACGAACTTCTCGACTACTTCTATCTGGTCACCATCCAGGGTGAGTACAGGATTAGGATCCTGCCAGTCTTGTAGAAGTACTTTGCACTTCGAAGGTGCAAAGCACATACCATACCTATGGACACTGATTGCCAACTGATTAAGTGTGGATTGCATGACTTTGGCATTATCACACAGTAAGACAATATCATCCGCATACTCAAGGTCGAGAAGTCTTTCTCCAGGCAACAGATCCACACCACCATTACTTGCATCCATCAGAGTTGTTTCCAGAATGTCGTCGATGGGAAAGTTGAAGAGGAATGGTGAGATTGTGCAACCCTGTCTAACTCCACTGCTTGAGTGCAACAATGGACAGATGTGGTTGTATGCCCTCACTCTGCCTGAGGTGTTTGTATATAGGGCCTTTAAGATGTTAATAAACTTCTCAGGCACACCCTTCTTCAACAGACCATCCCAGAGAACAGTCATATCCAACGAATCGAAGACAGCCCTGATGTCAAGAAACACTACGATTGTTGGCCTTTGATAAGTATGACGGTGTTCTAACATTTGGCGGTGGGTGAAGATATGATCAATACATCCTCAACCAGAACGAAAACTAGCCTGCTCCTCACAAGTCGATCATTTTCGAGTTTTGAACAGTCTACGAAGTATGACGGAAGTCAATAGCTTGGACGCAATCGGAAGTAGACTTATCCCCCGATAGTTGTTGCGGGAACGAAGTGAACCCTTTTTAAAGATAGGGACAACTATCGACTCATTCCATGACGTTGGTACACCCTGCAGTTCCCAGACATTTGTAAACAACACACTCAGTTCCTTAGTCACCACCATCTTTAAAAAGAGCCGGAGGTAAGTCATCTGGGCCAGGTGATTTGAAGCGCTTCAAGCGTTTGAGCTCCTTGCGGACTTCCTCCTCATTTGGTGGATCAGTCATCACCGGACAGGGAGGGCAGGACAGTCTGATGGATGTTGCCGGAGCAGCAGGCCAGTTGAACTGCCCTTCGAAGGATTATGCCCATCATCCAAGACGTCGATGGATGTTGGTGATTAGCATCTCGTCATCCTCGCAGATTGTTTCGCTCACACCAGAATTCTTGCTGCCAGTGGCTCGGATGAGTTGGAACCCATATATAGAAGATGAAATTCATCCAGTCAATCTATCTTGTGTTCATCACTGACTGATACTCCGATCGAGGATATTCGGTTGAGTTAATTGATGATGTGGATTGTACACCAACGACTGGTTATCATGACGTAGTTGCTGTAGGTGTCTGATGGTCTGTAACGTAAATTTTGAAGGAAGTACTTAACTAGATAGTGAATGTGATGTGGTGTGAATAGAGATGAATCGGATATTTAGAATGCAGATTGTCACAAGATCTAATATTTCCAGTGAATTTAATGCTCTCACAACCTAGCTGATGGTATGTGATGTGGATAGCAACAGAAGCTTCATGTTTTAGTGTAGTCATGCTTTTTAATTTTATCCATCGCTTTCATCAGTAGTTCGTGTATAAAATGATGAGTGTGATAAACGAAGTAGTGTCAGATTGTTTATATATTGTGTTCATTTAACTTCATGCAAGATATTTCTGAAACGACTATATTTATACATTTTCAGTTGCTCTGTATGAATAAGGATATCAAAAGGTTTAAAATCGTATTTGAATCAGACGCAGCCCTTGAGTCAATCAAAAAATGGGACTCGGTGAAACCACAAAGTATTGTGTATTTATGTTGACGAAACTGAATAGTCTGTACTATTGAGAACGCCGTTAAGAATCGGTTAATTAAGAAAGTGGAATGAATCAAATATGGTATTGTTAGACGTCCGCAAGGAGGTGATTATCCTTTTATGTTTTTCACGTGACCACAGTCTTCAGGAAAACACGTGAATATTAGTTGCGTTAGACGTTTTCGGTCTGAAAATTTATCCCTTCAGCATCCAAAATCATAAATTCCACAACCAAACTGTTCACAAGTCACTTAATATCCTGATGGACAGATCTTGCAAAATCACCTGCAAATTGCTATCATTTATCAGAAATAAACTTATACTCGCTAGTCAATCGTGAATTTAGTTAGCACTGAGTCTTGGATGACTATCTTTATTGCGAGCTGGTGTCTGTTTCATATACTTCTATATACGTTTACCATGTGCCACATGAAGCCAGGGGATATAGTCTTTTCAACAGGTCGTTATATCACTTACTTATCAGTTCAACTGAAGTTATAATTTTGGTTTAATTTGTTAAGGGGCATGAAAAATACAATTATTCATCGTCAAGCTTGAATGTACTATATTGTTCAGCAAGTATGTATATACTGATATACTCGCGCGCAAATGGTTAACCTCTAGACCCCTGAACCGGCATCCAACGGTTATTATGTCTAATTTCGATCAATCCACGATACTGTTCGGCCATCTTCCATTGTCTTTGAGGGGTAACTGCCACACATATGGCATTGTTGATCTCCACTGATCACGGCTTATTACTAGTGCTCCGAGAACTACCTCCCGAAGCTAGTTACTAGTGAGAACATAATCATTATGATTATAGGCTTGTAGAGATTAACAGATAATCCCCATTTAAACATTAAAAACACGAGGTTCAGCAAAGATATCTCCTTTCGACGAATTTATTATTAAGCTGTGCAATCGTATATACATGAAATTTATTTTGTTAAAGTGCTAGTTCCGTGAGGAAATGTGAGCAAGGAATAACCAAGATGGTGTAAAGACTGCTCAATTTTATTTGAGCTCATTAACCGACCAATGTTAGACCACCACTGGAAACCTGGAAGCACTGAACGGTCGTTTCATCCTAGCATTCGACTCCTCAGCACTTTTTGACGGTGATCTAACATTGATTGGTTCATGAATTCAATTAATGCCTGATATGTACAAAAAGCTAAACTATTTGTACATTACTGTACACCTGTATCATGTCATTTTCAAATTGATATGAACGTTTCTTGTCAAGCAGTACTGCTCATAAACTACGAAGCGTAGAGTTCACGCTTGTAAAAAAAGACATTTTACAGTTTCCATTAAAATAAAAATAGTTTCCGCGTTAAGTGTTTTCACACTGTGAGAACAATATTATAGACACGGATCTCAAAACGTTGAAGATTGACGACTAATTGATATTTGAACCACTAGTTTTGAGATCAGAATTTTAAAAAGTGAATTTCGAGTCAGCTAAATCAATCCTTTCAGTCTTTCCATTAATCAAATGAGGCGTGATTATTTTGATTCTCCAAAGAAAATAGTATTACCTAGAGTAATGGAAACTAAACTATTTTATGGGTTGACGATAACATATTCGATCTGAATTATTTTGCTATATTAGGGTTTGAAAACTTCAGTCATAACAAATATTGGTTTCATGAAAGAGGTACGTATGAAATACTCAATCGAAATACAAATGAAATAATTTGCTTGTTGCTTTTTGCTAATGTGATAACTGGGTGGTACCATTAAACGACTGTTGGTTAAGTTTGACATTGATTAGGATTTCATCGTGAGTGACTATGTCGTACATGTCATAGTTCATACTGATATAAACGAAGCTAATGGGAGTTCGTAAATATCGCTCGAAAAATAACTTCAGAGGTCCGGAGAAGGGGTAAAAACGTTTTATCCAGTCAGCACCGAACAGAAACCTTAGGGAAATATTAAAAAAATGAAGAGTTTTGTTCTATTTTGATTAAATATCTGATTATGCTCTCACCATATTAAGTATATTTCCAGGGATATTTGGAAGATCAAGATCCTATAAAACATCACAAAGGCACCCAGTTTTCTGAACATCATTGTTCTTGGAGTAAAACTTTAGCTTGCATAGCAAGTCTTTTCTCTATTGTTCAGGTGGAAATGTAGAAGTAGTTCAGGGTTATAGGAAGCCTTTGAGATAACGGCAACGTGAGTTCAAACGCCAGACTTATCAAAAACATTGAAATTATTTCTACATGTTTACTAGTATAATGTCATTTGAGAATATCCTAAACTAAATAATTACATTGTTATGTCTA